CTAGTAGGTTCCCAATGGAAAATTACATCGGGAGTAACCAAGTAGCACTAAATTGATGACTTAGAAAGACACTGTCTTGGAACGCTATGGACAGCGGAAACATGCAACAGGAGGAGAGTTTTGTGTCGGAAGTCGTGGATGAGTCTTTTCCATCATACATTTTTTATTTAGAGTAGGAAAGTGGGGACGGAGTTGTTGTGGAAGAGGACGCCAGAAGCTTGGTTTGGTGTAGAAGGCTTCCAGCCGTACATGTTTGAGCCCTTGCCTCGCAACGCTGCCAGTTCTGTTAGCTCTACGCCTGCCGAAGACACAGACGTCCATCCCCGTGAAAACTGGGACACAACTCAATGGGAAAGGAAAGGATTCTGGTTTCAACCGTTGCGTATATTAGCTGCGACACATGAATCAATTTAAAAATTCAATGTATAACATGGATGCATAATCACCTCATTTTATTTCAGTGTTAAATTATGTTTAAAGTATCAGATTATAATTAAAAATGTCTCCGGTTCTTTACTGGCTGATTTTCTTTATTCCCGCTGATTTTTAATTGGTTACCCTGCTATAAAGCCTCAAACTCAACTCTATTTCTCACATTTTGAATTGAAAAAGCTTCCTGGATGGGAAGCAAAACGTCTTCAAACTTGGAAACAGAGTTTTTTAACCTGGATGACTGAGAATCTTCACCAGCAAACATCTATGATCCTCACTGTGTCATTCTGATTCACTGGGTTCCTCTGGTGAGCTGAGACACACCTGTTCAGGTAAATGCAGGAGCTTTCTGCAATGATGAACAGACCCTTTATCCCCAGGTATGTCTGTGGATCTGAAAGGTTCTAAAAGCCGTTTGATCATTTCTTCACAAAGGACTTAAAGCATTCTATCACCAGCACAGAACCTTGGTGTGAGCGGAGAAGCCACAGAGAACCGTCCATCATGGTTCACCCAACTTTAACAGCTGAGTTCCACTAAAACAATTCCAGCCTCTGGAGAAGGTGTCCTCTGCCGATGGAGATGATGAAACAGAAGAAGGTCTGGAGGACATAGAGATGTGTGGAAACCTTGAGAGGGACAAAGGAGAACCATCATAAGCCTTGAATAAAGTGATGATGCAGTAAAAGATGAAGAGCTCACCTGGAGACTCAGGCTGACATCAGCAGACCTGCAGTCACTGCAAAATCACAAACAGTTTCAGTATCAAACAGTTTACTGTGGTCAACCTTCATCCTCCTCATCCTCCCGCTCACCGTCCGCAGCATCCGGCGGCAGCAGCGCGTCCTGCCTGTTGGCCAGAACGAAGGCCAGCGTGGCCAGGATGGCGTAGTCCAGAATTCCCAGCATGGCCAGGATGTAGGCCCAGTGGACGGAGCAGTTACCTGGAGAGAAGCTGCCCACCTGAGGGTCCAAACAGGGTCAGAGGCAGAACCTGGAACCTGATACTGCTCATCTAGAAACAGCTGCTGCACTGCAGGTACAAAAAGCTGATGAAAGGTTCCCAAGACATTCTGCTTCGTTATGCTGGAAACATGAAGGCAGAATTTATTCCTGTTCTCATGGAACAAGCAGAGGAAGCAGATTCAGAAACATCTGTAACAAACCATCCTGTCAGCTGCTTCTGACCAACAGGATGAATGACTGTACAAAAATAAACGTTAACATTTTTATTCAAAGAATGTCCTCACCGAGTCGCCGCACAGAGCTTTCATCTCTGGACTTTCCCATGAGTCTGGAAACAGGA